ATCTGCAGATTCCTAAGCTACCTGATTTGACTTAAAGTAAAATTTGAAACAAAGTCAGATTCTTCCAGAGGTGAAATCTCTGAGGAATTTCAATGGAAGCCTAAAGTGATTTTGATATGACTAGAGGGAGAGTTTGCACATCTTTGCTTAGGCCTTTTTTGATGTTCTTTAGATGTAATCAGGGGCCGTTTCGTAGAAAAAGAGCTAGGGGAACTCATTAGCATAACTCATTAACATATGCCACACCCCCTGACATCACGGAAGTGTGTCATAAGGCCACACCCCCTGACATCACCGGAAGTGTGTCATAAGGCCACACACCCCGCCCTCAACGTTCCCGGCCGCCGGCGCCGGCCTTGCAGCTCCACTGCTGAGCCCCATGAGGGGTCCGGCGGTGGCCCTGCAAGGCCGGCGGGAGTGCAAGGAAGCCCTGCGAAGGCCCTCCCTGGCCCCAGGCAGGCAGGGGTGGGGAGAGGCAGGGAGGAAGCAACTTACCCTCCCTCTTCTCCTGCCTCCTCCTGGCTGAATGAGGGCCGGAAGAGGGGCGGCCGGAAGCAGGGGGCGGGGCTTCGCCATGTGCCCCACCCCCCGTACCTCACCCGGGGGAACTGCGATCCCCCGCGATCCCCCCGAAATGACCTCTGGATGTAATGTCCATATAAAGCACTTATATACAGTGGTGGTCCACACAGCTGCCATCACATTTCAGAGGCACTTCTGATGTGTGCAGGATTAGAATACCAGAAATCTATAGCTCAGGCAGACATGCTACTGGCTTGTGTATTGAGTGTGACATCAGCTGCTTGGAACATTTACAGAGGAGAGTGATTTATGCGCAGTAGCATCGTTTCTAATTCAGGTCTTAGCCTCTGCCGATCAGTTAGGGCCTCAAAAATATTAAGATAAATAAGAAGTTCTGCTTTTTATTTATTTAAACAACTAAATCAGTGCACAGCCACTGCCATCCCAGCCTTTTGAAATTACTTCCATTTCAGCCCAGCAAAATCAAGCAAGGTGTGCTTGATGCACAGTATACATTCCCAAGTTCTGGATGTCATTGTAACATGGCAGCCTCTTAAGTTTCCCACAGTGCCACTGGTCTGCTCACACCAGTGATCTGCTGTTTTTCATTTCATTGAATCTGAACCCTGTGAGTAAATTGGCACCGGTATTGCCGTGTTGTGAATGGATTCAGCCACTGTCAATATATCTATCTGTATATGACTTCAGTTATGTTACACCTGATTTCATCCCACAACACAATCTAGATGGAAACCTGCTGTTTTATTCAAGTCAAGCCAAAATTAATGAATTGGCTTGGATAACATTAACCTCTTGTCTTTATGGACTAGGCAGCACAAATAAGGGCCTGTTGTTCGGTCATTCAAGGACACAGCTGACATTAAGGTTTGGGATACAGAAAACCTAACTCATGCCAGATGTGTGGATCTCATCATATCAGAGGTGGTGGCAGGGATATGGATTTCGGTTCAGTGCCTTGTAGTCAAGAGTTTGGCAGTAGGTGAAGGTGAGTAGGCCAAAGACCAGATGATACTTGTTCTTTATTAATACATACTCAGTAACAGCAAAGTTTCCTTCCATTCCCCCCACCCACAGATGCAGTAGAAGAATTTTTTTCCTTATAAGGTGGGGAAACCTTTGTGAGTAGCCCAGAGACTGACATGACTTAGAGCCAGCCATGGGTAGGTTAAATCTTCCTTCCAGTGTTCAGGAATTGCTTTTTTGCATTGTGATGCCTTGCCTGCTAGGGAATATGTAAATACAGCACCCAACTATGCAGGGCTAATTATATGTTTTTCAAACCTAGTGATTGGCCTCTGTCCTGATAGGACGCTGATTAGGTGGGAATCTAATGCAACTGGCCCTGTCCAAGGGCCTCGTCATATATAACCAGACAATCTACTGATGATTCTGTGGGTCCTTCCTAGCCAATCATTGCTTCCTTTCTGGCTGTGCAGTGATCAGGTAGGCAGGACCTAGTAGTTGACTCTGTCCACAAGGTGAAGGAGGAGTTCTCTCTTTTGTTGCTTCTGGCTATCCCATATCTCTCTGTTTTTTTCTTTCTTTCTTACTCTGTCTTTTAAAAAAACTCCCAAAATTCTACCTTGCAGAACAAAATGGAAGTACTGCCGCTGGTGTGCCTCTGCTTAGGTCAGGGTCAGGCTTGTCATTTGCCTATCTGTGGTTGTTTAACCCCCGCCTTTGCCCCCAGACTCCCACCCTTGAGAAATAGAGTAACAGATAGAAAAAAAACCCGCAACCCTAGTCAGGATGCATGTTCCTACTTGTGCATCCTCCCTGATCCGCCATTAGAAATCCAGTGCTTTAAGCAATCTATACTATAGGCTTTCTTTACAGTTCCAAAGGCTGAAGGGGCTTCATTGTTGGTGAGGCCTGTTGGAGAAAATCCTGTTCCCATCCTACCCTCAGAACAAATGAGCAACAAGTGGAGAAGCATGCAAACACATTGATTAGAGTTGGCATTATACAACAAACTTTCCCAGTGACAACACAGGCCCTGTTTTCAGAAGGACATGCCAGGACTGCCTTGGTACAGAAAGGGCTGGCTTATTGTTTTACTTGATAACTGAATCCTGCTGATAGCTGAACACTGCGCAGGCTAGGCAGGTGCTGACTGGTACAGACTGCCTTGGAACTAGTCCTTTCTCAGGTAGGTTTAAGTTTGTGTCATGGGGGTGCAGGTTAGGCTTGCCAAGTCCCCCCGGGGGGCGGGGAAATCCCCGCCCCAAAGCCCCGTTCCCCGCCACTGGCGGATCGGGCCCCAGGTGGAACCCCACCCCGATGTACGCATCACCCAGAAGTGACACGTCCACGCCGGGCACACTGGGGGCGGGGCCACGGTCATCCGAGGGAAAACTCTATGGTTTTCAAACACCGGACGGGAGTCCCCTGCTCCGGAGGAATTTACACTTGGCAACCCTAGTGCAGGTGCCTAATTAACAACTCAGTCCCCTAGCCTTGGATGCAGAGAAATGTCACTATGGGAATGAACTATGCAAACTACACAGCTATGTGAAGAGAGCTGGTACACTGTAGTGGTCTGAGTGTCAGATTAGCAGCAAGGAGACCTGGGTTAAAATCCCTCATCAGTCACATAATTTATTAGTTGACCTTAGGCCAACCAAACTCTTCTAGAACCTGTTCACAGTTCTCATTACTGTGTGGGTCCTATTCAGACTGGGACCATGGCACACATGCTTATTTTATTTTTTATTTTGCTTTCCTCCCAAATGGGGAACCAAAGTGGTTTAACACATCATTCTCCACTCCTCCCCCTCATTCTCAGAACAAGAACTCTGAAGGGCAGATTAGGCAGTGGGGGGGGGGGACTGGCCCAAAGTCACCCCATGAGCTTTCACGGCAAAGCAAAGATTTGAACCTGGTTCTCCCAGGTCTTAGTCTAACCTTCCAACCCCTAGCCCATGCTGGCTATCACGGGGGAGGGTGGAATAAAAAATTGATATTAGAATAAAGGAGGGGCTAAAATCGATAAAAAATTTCCCATGCTCTTTATTAAGCTAAACTGTGAGAAACGTTTATACCAAATAGCAGCTGAATCAAATTGGGGAGCAGGGAAGAAAGGAGAGAAAACAATGCTCTTCCTATTTAAAATGTGTATGCATTTAAATATAAATGTCTGAAACTGAACATCTGGATTTCAAAAATAGCAGAAAATTAGGGTCTGACTGACTGAGTGGAGTCACATTTCAGCTTCTCATGTACAGGCATTTTTATACATGCTCAGGACTTGATGATATTATTTGAATTTTATCCCCCCAAGTAGCTTTAGGGAACGCACATTTCTCTGCTCATGCAAACTATTTATTCCCAGGATGTACACTTCTAACACATTTTTAAAAATCCTGTTACTTAGCAGTGAATTACATAATAATGGCTAAACATCTCCAGCAAAAAAAATCTGTTTGCTCCAATGCACTGATTCCTGGATTGAGTTCACATCTACAAACAGCCCATGAAATATAAAACAACATTAAATAGAACTGGACTATTGGTCCATCAAGATCTATATTGTCTACTCAGACTGGTGGTGGTAGTTCTACAGGGCTGAGAAGGATCTTCCCTAATACACCTTCTTTCCGATATTTTTTTAAAACTGGAGATTTTAGGGATTGCGCCTGGGATCTTCTGCATTCAAATAATCTTTTCTGCCACTGAGACCTATTGCCCTCCAGAGTTTGCCTGTGACACTCTACGAGGGGGGGAAAGTGCAGAAAACATATGGGAATGTCTATGGTGCTGCCCTTTCACTGAAGTGTCTGTGGGAGGTGCCACGCATAGGACCTACATGAGACAGTGAGAGTCCTATTAACCTCCAGGATGCCTGCTGATGTTCTGTGGGCAAGTTTGTCTTCTAGAGTCAGGAGAAATAAACCATCTTTTCAATGTTAGCCATCCTTTCTGAGTATCACAAGTCATCCAAATGATATGATCATGTCAGTAATGCACACCAGACTATATATTCAGCTCAGCTTGCTTTGCTGTGATTTGTGGGGCTTTGCCTACAACAGCAGAGTGTAGGCCTGGGTATATTTGAGAGCGAGGCCTGTGGGATTTTTTGCACCTGTCCAGATGTGCCACAGACTCCTACAGCTGTAGATTAGGCTCATTCTCTTACTCCTGTGCTCCTGAATCCCATGCCTATTACTCTATACCAGATAAAAAGTGACATGATGCATAAAAGAAGAGAAACAAAACCTTGTTTCATGTAATTGGGAGACAATTCCCTAAGCAAAACATTTAACAATCGATTGTGGGTAAATGCACAGCTGCAAGCAGGCCCCAAGACAGCAAGCAGAAAGAGAGGAAGAAAGAGGCAGCAGCAGGAGATGAGAGCTTGTGTGGAGATGAAACGGTGCAGGGTTTCCTAGGAATGACTCCTTTTCTAATGAGCATTCAATAAGAAAAAAGAAACGTATCCAACCCAGCCTGTGACTTACTCTTTTTGGCTTCTTCAAGTTTGTCCTTGGCACGTTTCTCTGCCTGCAAAAGTTGCTGGATTCCCTGGGACTGGCTAGTCATCTTGTCCCCTTGATTTCAGTGTGTCCTCTGCGGAACCTGGGAATGAGGAAGAAGGCTTTATGCTGCGGCCTCCAGGTTTCTTCCTTGTGTACCTTATTGTGTCAACATCAAAGGCATGCATTTTGCTC